TTCTATTCATGGAGATTCTTTCTGACAGGATATACTAGCTCATTTTACTTGACCTTAATATTGATATCTAATTTTCTCATCATTGATTTTAGGCAGGCATCGACATACACATCTAGGACGTCTTTCACCCTCACTTTTACCACTCTTTAACGTCCTAGATGACCAGTTCATCTTTATCTGGTACCATACCCTAAACCCAAAACCCTTGTTTTCAATCCTCATGCATTCTCTCTTTAGTTTATATCAGCATATATGTGCAAAAACATCGGAAAGAAGAGGAGCGACGCAGTTTTCAGTTGCTCACAAAGGAGACTGAATGGAATTGGGAAGGAAGAGTATCAGAATCCTCATAAAGCTTTACAAGACAGATCTTAACTGGTAATTTCGTGCTCTCTATGACTCTATATCTAAAGGTGTTCCCTCTCTTTCAAAAAAAAAAAAAAAAAAACGAATGAAAAGAGAGAGGGAAACAAAAAGCCTAATGAGTCCTAGATTGTCGAAATTTGTGGAGCAAGAAGCAACTACTAAGCGTTTATAGAGCTATGTTTTTGAAAGATTTACAAAAATCTAAGTCTAGGGGAGTTAGGAGAGAACCTCAGGAAGAAGAGCAGGAATCTATGGCAAGTGACTGAAAACTGTGGATACCAACAGCTTCACTCTCTCTTGCGGTTTTGCATAATATCTTGCATCCTCCAGATCTTCAGGTAACCCATAAACACTTTAAGCCTTACCCCTAGAATAACCCTTTTTGACACCTAGCCTAGATTGCCTTGCCTAGACTTTCTTTGATGAGAACCACCGAGATTTATAATGAATGTTAAGAGCTAGTTGACTGGAAGTTAGATCTTAGTGCATAGATTTCCGCATGACGGATTAATGGACTAGTTATGCCTGTATCGCTAGTGAGAATTTTCTAGGCTATTCCTGAATGATGCATACTGATATTAGTCTAGAAGTTTGGTCTCTGAGATTTTGTTTAGTTCCTGCGTTTTCAAACCTCTCGCCGAGATTTAGCCTTTGCTTTGTTTGAGGACAAACAAAAGACTAAGTCTGGGGGAGTTGATAACACCAGATTTTGACCATTTTTATGGATCACTTAATGTCTTTTACAGGTGTTTTTACTCCATTTTCAAAGGTTTTTAAAGGATTTCTATGTTTTCGGATTTTAAAAGACTTTTCAGGTAATTTGGGATAAAGAGGCACAAATTTGAACAAAAAGACTCTTTTGGATAAATGCAGACCGTCAGAACTCTCATGGAGAAACAAAGACCTTCTCACCGTCTGATCACCCTCAAAATCGAACAACATATAGAAGAATCAACCAGCTTTCAAATGCACTTGGTTTGGAGATATTCCAACGGTTGGATCTCAAGATATTCCATTAGCCCCGGAGCCACTCGAAGACGGCCAGCAAGTCACGCGATCGCGGCCACCAGCCCATTCCCTGCGGTCACAAGCCTCCCGACCGCGGTCAGCCACCTATTTCCCACGGTCACGTCATTCCCGACCGCGGCCGGCCAACTCTGAACTAAAGCCCATATTTCTGAAGCACAAGGTCATTCTCAGCCTCAATTCCGGAACCCTAGAGACCATGGAGTATTAAAGACTATAAATACTTGTCATTTAGGTCGTTTTTAGACACCACCCTTCATACTTTACAGAAACCCTTTTCCTTTAGCCGTTTTATGCGATTTTTGTAGAAGATTGTTCAAGTCCGAGTTCTTCAATAGAGAAACTTTCTTTCATCTCTTTTCTTTACTGTTTTTGATTACTTTTATTAAAACCAATGATGATGTCGACCTCAGCTATGTCTTAGTAGATCCCGAGTTGGGCTTAGGGTTCCCGAAAGGGGCTCTCATAATCGATTAAGACATCTAGGTTTATAGATATGGGATTATAACTTTGTTCTCTGTTTATTTTCGTTCTTATTGCATGTATGCTTGATTGATCACCTAGTATCTGATCTAGATAGTTAGTGTTGCGAAAGTTTTCACTAAGTATCAGCCCTAGAATGAAACAGGCGATTTTTCCGTAGGAGTGGAAACCTACCTGCAGCGAGATCGTGAGTATTGACGAGTCTTGTGCAGCTCTTGCGTTCTCTCCCTTCCAGGGCCAGAGTGGAAACCTACTGGTCAGGGTTGCGAGAAATAGTTGGTTATGATCACAACAGTGACGTAGTCATACCGCCGTACTCTAGCTCTAGTACCCTATATATCAATATCCGTCAATCCCAATCTATCTACCCTAGTGTTAAAACCGATTATGATCCCTGTAGAGTTCCCAAAAGCTCAGCGTTTTTAGCCATAATTTACAAACCAATCGATTTTTACTTGCTTATTTAGATCTGCATTTCAATTGCTTTAGTTCGATATTTTGCTTGCTTTATTTCCTTTCCATTCGATTTTTCTACTTGTTCCTTAGGATAGATTTATTTGCTTTCTTTTGTTTTAGTTTAATCCGTGAAAAACAACCAACCTCTAAAACCAATCTAGTCTAGACATAAAGTTAGAAACCGTAGAAGAATACCAGGCACACAATCTCTGTGGTTTCGATCCCTAAATACTACAACTGATTAGCTGTGCACTTGCGGCTTTCCATTTTTTTTTGTTAAGGGTAAAACTTGTTCCCTCACGCAGTTGACACGCATCACCTTGTAACTTTTCACCTTTGATATTAATAAAATAAGAACTTGCTTCAAACTTGTTTTCGAGAGAAATTTGTTTACAACCTTGCTCTAGTCAAGACCAGTACCTCCTAGATCAAGTCCTCGTGTTTTATCACAAGTCTTACACAACTTGTGTGGTGCAAATCGATCCACCTTGTCACTTCACCGTTTTCATCGATTCATTTGTTTAGAGTTGCTCATTCATTTGAATCACCCCTTTGGCCATCAATCAAAGCTTCGCTTCTGAGATTCCACAAGTCCTTGTCAGCTTGGTGCTTGTATCAAAACGGACAATTTCCTTAAAGAAAAGATTAGCTACATGAGATGCATCATCGGTTTTATTGCAAGCTAAGAAATGGGCCATCTTAGAGAATCTATCTACAACTACAAAGATATAATCCTTACCTGTTTTGGTTCTTGGTAAACCGAGAACAAATGCCATAGATATATCAATCCAAGGATGATCAGGAATGGGTAAAGGTGTATACAAACCGTGTGGCTGGACTTTAGACTTGGCCTGTTTGCAAGTGGCACACCTTTGGCATTTTCTTTCCACGTCTTTCTTCATATGTGGCCAGTAGAAATGATCTTGCATCACTTTCATTGTCTTAGCAACACCAAAATGCCCCATTATTCCACCACCATGTGCTTCCCTGACTAATAAATCTCGGATAGAACAGTTAGGAATACATAGTCGGTTGCCATAAAAGAGATACCCATCTTGTTTAAAGTAGTGGTCCTTAGAAAATTTCTCACAAGATTGATACACTTTTTTCAAATCCGAATCAGATGCATACATGTACGTAAGCTGTTCAAACCCTAAAAGTTTTGCATCTAAAGTATAGAGTAAGGCATCGGCAACAACATTTTCTTTACCGTGTTTATATCTGATGACATAAGGAAAGGTCTCAATGAACTCAACCCATTTTGTGTGTCTCTTGTTGGGCTTTTGCTGGCCCTTTAGGTGTTTGAGCGACTCATGATCTGTGTGAATGACAAATTCCTTAGGCCATAGATAATGTTCCCATGTTTGAAGAGCTCGCACCAACACATAGAGTTCTTTTTCCTAGGTGGGGTAGTTTTGTGTATCTCCTCCGAGTTTCTCACTGAAGAATGCTATAGGCTTCTTATTCAGCATTAAAACAGCACCGATTCCTACACCAGAAGCATCACACTCAATTTCAAATGTTTTACGAAAATCAGATTAGACTAATAGAGGTGCGTGAGTAAGTTTATCCTTTAGAGCTTGGAATGGTTCCTCTTGCTTATGTTCCCATTTGAATCCCACATCTTTCTTAATGATCTCGGTAAAGGGAGCAGCTATAGTGCTAAAGTCTTTGACAAATCTTCTGTAAAATCCTGTAAGACCGTGAAAACTCCTCACATCCCCAGCGGTCTTAGGAGTTTGCCAGTCTTTGATGGCTTTGACTTTCTCCTCATCTATTTTGATACCATCTGCACTCACAACAAAACCTAGAAACACAAGATTATCTGTGCAAAACGTGTATTTCTTGAAATTAGTAAACAATCTCTCCTTTATAAGCACGTCTAGAATGGATCTTAAATGCATTACATGCTCGTCTAGGTTCTTACAATAGACTAGTATATTATCAAAGTATACGAACAAAAAAAACCTATGAAAGCTCTAAGAACATGGTTCATCAACCACATGAATGTACTAGGTGCATTTGTCAACTCAAAAGGCATAACTAACCACTCATATAGGCCATTCTTAGTCTTAAATGCAGTTTTTCATTCATCCCTTTCTTTCATTCTAATCTGATGATAGCCACTTTTTAAACTATCTTTAGAAAAAATACTAGAACCATGCAATTCATCAAGCATATCATCTAATCTGGAAATGGGGTGTCGATACTTAACCGTTCTGTTTTTGATTGCTCTACAATCAACACACATGCACCAGCTTCCATCTTTCTTGGGTATAAGTAGCACAGGAACGGTACACGGGCTTGTGCTCTCTCTGATATGACCCTTTTCCATGCGATCATTCACTTGTCTTTGAAGCTTTTTGGTTTCCACCGGATTGGTTCTATACGCAGGTCAATTATACGCAGGTCGATTAGGTATTGTTGCTCCCGGCACAAAGTCTATTTGATGCTCTATGCCTCGAATTGGTGGCAACTCTTTTGGATTGTCTTTGGAAAAAACATCTTCATAAGCCTGCAATAGTTCCTTCATCTCACTCGCTAAAACCGGTGTAAAGTGCTTTATTAAATATAAATACCCAATAAAATGTATTTTAATTAATATTGCATCAAACTGGGTTACATTTATATTTGTTTCCAAACAGAATTTTTTAAATATGCATAAGATGTTTGGAAATAGAGACCGAGAAACGGTCATGAGGACTGAATAAACAGAGAGATGAGGAATTTAAGCCAATATTACATCACTGTCTTGTTTCTTAACTCCGTTTACATAAAGAAGCAAGGAAGATAGATAAAGAGAGTCTTCCCCTTTTGTTCCCTGTATATATACAACACTCACAACCGCTCTCTATGGCTCTGATGTAATAAAAATGTACAAAAACAAAATCAGTTCTTGAGGATCATTGCCTCCATTTTCCTCTTCCTCGCTGCGTGTTTTAGTTTCTCCAGCGCCACGAGTCCCACCTGTCTTACCCTCTCTCTCGATAATCCTATCCTGTAGATTTGTCAAGAAGACAGTTTAAAAGATCTATGGTCGATGATGATGCGACAATGGGTCAAAAAGTGGCTTAAGATTGAATACATACCGTTTGCTAATGTCTTCCCATGTGAGACATTCTTTGTCTAGACCATAGTATAACCGAATGATCTCCCTTTCCCTTTCTCCGAGTGTTGCACTTATAAGCTTGCTTACTTCGTCCTGCAATTATATCATCAACATGGTCAAATTCAGTATGTAAAACAGCTTTAATGAATACATAAATGTGGAATCACATTCACTCATGACTTTTGCTTTCTATTTTTACCTTGAGTGCCCACTCATCATACCCATGCCACGGATTGTTCTCCAAACGATTATCCGCAATGTACTGGAAATAATGAAAATTACCCATCCAAATGTTATATACTGGACAGGAGAGTCTGCAGAGAAACATGGAAGGTTAAATTGAAAAAAGAGACTTACACTGTGATGAGTTTCTCCAGGGAGACCATTCAAAGAAGGAAATGCATCTCTGTCTAGGGAAAATATTTTGCTTACAGCCTGCATTTTTAGAAGGGAAGAGCATGAGCACAAATACGCATTGGTCCTTGAAAAACATGAATTAAATTTAGTTTTCTTACCTCTGTTGCATTTCTAACTTTCTTCTGCGACATGTTTAGAGACTCTGCAATCCTCTGGAAATAACAACAATCAATATAAGCATACAACATGTAGACAGGAGAAACCAGAATTGTTCAAATGTTAATAATATGCTTACATCAATGGAGGGTGTGATTCCTTTCTCTTGAAGTCTAAGCTTTGCATTTCTGATTAGACCGAGCCTTTCGTGCAGGTGAGTAGGTAACCTCAAGGTTCTTGAGTTGTCCACTAATGCTCTTGACACACCCTTATAGGAATTTGAAACAAAGAGAATTAGATGTCATCTTTTGCTTTCTAACCATATTGGCAAGCACAAAACAACAAACATCTGAGGTGAAGCGATATCCTCACCTGTCTAATCCACCAATATACATAAGTTGAAATTCTGAAACCCTTGGAAGAATCAAATTTCTCTATTCCCCGCAAAAGTCCGATAAGACCACCCTTCATAGTAAGAGACAAAGTTCTTTCTTATAAAAATGTTCATAAAAAGCTAACAAAGAATGCGCAAAGATTTGAAAAGTACCTGAACAAGATCAGACATTTCTGCTCCCATATTATCATAACGCTGGGCAATAGACATAACCAAACGCACATTGCTCATAGCCAACTTCTCTCTCGCTAGATGACATTCCATCAACCATGCCTGCAGCTCGCCCCGAGATATCTTCAAGGATATTGCAAGCTGTTCATCAGAAGGCTCACAGCCTAATCTATCCTTCAATCTAATGTTTCACCAGACAATGATTTAGTCTTGTATTATAAATAATTTCAGCCCACTTTATGTTTGTGTAGTATGTAAAATTTTTACCTTGACTTATGATCATCTAGACGAAGGCCAGATTTGATTTTCTTGGACAAACGCACGACTTCAGCGTGACTAAGCACATCTTCACTCACTACCCCCCTCACATAACCCTTCACACGATTGTTTTGGAACAACTCTGAATTGATCACTGATTTAACCTGTTTTCCACTACTAACTTCTGAAACTACTTTAACATGACTCATATTAGTTTTCTTCTTAGCACCGATCCTCCTTTGCCGAGCTGAAATCCCTGAACAGGTGACGGGATTCTTCTTCCGTGTCATCCTCTTCTTGCTTGGGGATTCACTTGTTGCCGCCTTCTCAAATGAAAGATTCCATTGTTTTTCCAACATAGACTTCTGTAACAGTAAGAGTGCTTCAACAGAATGGCCAAGATCATCTTCATAGCTTTCACCTTCCATTTCTTTATCAGATCCAGGAGGTAACCATGGCTGAACAGAAGAAGCAACAACGTCCACAGTCTCTTTCAGAGCCTTGGCAGATTGTGTGTGACGGCTTGATGAGGGTAAACTCGGACTGTAGTTCGACGATGATGATGGCGTCTTCTTTGCAGTTATCCCACTTCTTGTTGAAGCAATATGGTACTGAGATGAACAATGATCATTTACAGATAGAAACTTTTCGGTGACGTCTGAGTAGTAAAATGATGAACTCAACAGTCTTTTCCCTGCGTTGAGTCCTATAACAGCTGCTGTAGCCATCATCCCATGTATATACGACACTCTTTTGCTTAATTCATCAACCAGGAACAAAACTCTTGACTCTTGTCTAATTTTAACCCGTAGTCTTCTGTTAACAAAGCCAACACTTCAGATATCATAACAAACACAATCTCATTATATTTTTTTGTTTTGTTTTGTTTCTTTTTGGCTCAGCAACATAAATTTCATTAGTGAAAACTAGAAATACATGATTGTTTCTCAGTTACAACAAAGGGACTGAACCAAATTGGGACAACAGGATCAGTATGACATTCAAATGAATTGAAATCCAAAGCTTGTTCTGCAGAATCGATATTCAGACACAATAATCAGCTTGTGCGTATTGAAAATTTTGATTTCACTATTTCTAGTTTGTGTGCTTCAAAGTCATCTATCACTACCCAACTTTGACCAACCCATTGAAACCAGAACCATTCGAAATCAAGAGTTTTTCAAAATTTGCATCGCCCAGTGGGTTACAAAGAAACAAATTTTAGTTAGATCTATAGGAGAATAAGAGTGTGATATATCAATGTAATTGGTAATCTCGTAAGAGCAATTTCAATTTGGCAGAGACAATAACGAACCTGAAAAAAGTTCTTGAGGCAGAGAGAGGAGAGTGTGTGTGGCACAGACGAAGCGAAAATGGCTTTATTTTCAGTTTTATTTTACTTAAAGAGTTTGTTGGTGGCCTAAGATATTGTGAGAAATGAAACCGCCATGCCAAGAAAATAAAAAAATAATAGAGATAAATATAAATTTCAACGATTGGAAAATAGAAAAAGTTTAAATTGTAGTATAGGAGAGGATATAATAAAAGAGATATGGAAAGAAGAGATAGGATTGGTGGAAGTAGATATTGGCTCCATGTTTCTGTGGTAGTTAGCTGCTCCGCTTGTTTTTGCTTTCGCGGCTTACTCTCTCTCCTCTACATTTTCACTAGTTATGTTTATTATATGTTTTTTTAATCGTTATGTTATATTGTTATATATTTGCTACCTCAACTTATATCACAAGAAGATTTTTTTAACTAATATTTTTGGTGACAAAAAATGAAAATATTTTTTTTGTTAAAATATTGTATTTGGATTTACATCTGTCAAAATTTGTATATATATACTAAAATAAAATCCGTGTAATACTGAAAAATAATAGAATATTTAGATATCTCTAATATATTAAAATAGAAGCACTATTGGATACTTGGCAGCTCTAGGATTAAAATTAGTAGTATTTAACTACATTATTAATTCTTTTTATTTTAATTCTCATACAATCCGAATTGCCAAACACTAAAATATTTTCAAAAACATATTTATCTGCAATAATTTGTTGAGCTACGTGTTCTTTATATATTTTTTGATTAACTGTATATATCCATTTATAATTAGTATACATATTAATAAAACTTTAACTCTGAATCTAAGTCATCATGTGGTGGAACTCTTCTGTTGAAAAAATTCTTGATAGAGAAAGACATAATCAACTATCTAAATCTTTGTTCGAGAGACAGTGAAAAGCCAGACATAACAGAAAATATTTAATGAAAGGGATTAATATCCAGTCACTACCTTCTACAGGTGCATAAGATAATATATCTACATCTGCAATGTTTTATTATCATATAGTTATACATCTCATAATTGGAACTTTGCTAAATATCTTTTTATTTTGTATTTGTTCATACAAGCAGATTGTTCTTCTCATGGAACTGATACTAAAGCAACTGATTCTGATCATGAACGTAAACCTCATATATTGGATAATGGTTATGTCTCTTACATTACACTTCTATTGCTACTTATTTCGGTTATATTCTTATCAGGAATAAATGTCTAATTATCTGGAATGTTATATTACATCAGGATATTATGATGATAGAGATCCGATATATGAATGCTCACATTGCAAAGCAAGGATGTGGTTTAATGGACGAAGTGAAAAAAGAAGAAGAGTGCAACGTATAAATTTACTATATGTTGTTTGCATGGGAAAGTTAAGCTACCCTTACTTAATCAACCTCCTCCATTTTTGATATATCTCTTCTCGAGTGATGATGAAATTTGTCGCCATTTTCGTGAAAATATTAGAGCTTACAACATGATGTTTTCTTTTACCTCTATTGGTGGAAAGGTAAATTACGATGTAAATAAGGGTTGTGGTCCACCCTTTTTCCAACTACATGGTGAAAATTTTCATTTAATTGGTTCTTTGATTACTCAACAAAATGAGAAACCAAAGTTCTGTCAGCTGTATATCTATGATACCGCTAATGAGATAACCAACAGAGAGAAATCAATCAGGTATACACTGTACGCACTATTTTAATATTTATTACCATTAGTGTTTACTATTAATAAATCTGTTTATCATACATTACCTTTAAATGGCTTTCTTACTATTCCAGCAAGAATGTCTCTAGCTCGACCAAGTTAAGGCCGGCATTAATTGATTTTCTCATGAAGATGTTAAACTTTTGTAATCCAATGGTGAAAGCTTTCCGTTCCTATAAAGACAAATACAATATTCAACAACCAGAAGACAACGTCAAGTTAGTTCTCATTGCCAACAGAAATAAAGATGCTAAGACACATAACATGCCAACTTTTACAGAAGTTGCAGCATTGATTCCAGGGGATTTTCAAGAAGGAATGGATATACGTGATATTGTATTAGAAACTACACACGAAAACCTAAGAAGAATTAGTGAACTCTATGTGGGTTATCTTGCTCTTCAATACCCATTATTATTTCCTTATGGTGCGGATGGATTCACCATTGGCATTGAAGATGGTTTTGATGACGGCAACAAACGGAAACGGAAAACTATAAGCATGCAAGAATTCTATGCTTAAAGAATTAAAGATAGGTTAATGGAATCTCAGTCAGTCATTCGGTCTAAACAATTGTATCAACAGTTTCTGGTTGATGTGTTTACTATGATAGAGTCTAGCAGACTTCGATATTTCAGAAAAAGCTTCGTTGAGACAAGTATATGAACCTGGTTGTTGCTGAAAAGGAAGGAAACTCTGATTTATCCAACAGAGGTAAAAGATTTTTGATACCTGCATCATTTACCGTTGGTTCACGCTATATGAACAATAACTATTTGGATGCAATCATTTGTAAGCACTTCGGATTTCCCGATCTTTTTATAATTTTCACCTGCAATCCAAACTGGCCTGAGATTGTTAGATATACAAAGAAGCAAAATTTGAATCCTGAAGATAGACCAGATATCTTCTGCAGGATATTCAAAATTAAGCTAGACAGCCTCATGAGTGATCTCACTGAAAAGAACATTTTCGGTAAAAGTGTTTGTGGTATGTTAAATTTACATTTGTAATCTTTTTCTTTACACTCTAAGTTAAATTGTTATGGTAATCCTGCTTTTTTTTTTTAATATGAACAGGTATGTATATTATTGAATTCCAGAAAAGAGGTCTTCCACATGCACATATCCTACTTTGGATGGCAAAAAAAAAGTAAATTATCTACTGCCGACTCTATTGATAAAGTTATTTCTGCTGAGATTCCTGACAAAGATACTGATCATTCTTTGTATGAAGTATTGAAGCAAAACATGATACGTGGACCTTGCGGAGTGATTAACAAAAGTAGTCCATGTATGGTCAATGGGAAGTGTTCTAAGCAGTTTCCAAAGATATATTGTGAAAAAACGACGATTGGACAACAAAGGGTTTCCACATTATATGAGAACGAAGACTGATGCATTTGTTTACAAGAATGGACTAAAAATTGACAACAGTTTTGTTGTGCCTTATAATAGAGAGCTATCGTTGCGATATAGAGCTCACATCACTGTTGAATGGTGTACTCATGCAAGGTCAATCAAATACCTTTTCAAATATATAAACAAAGGACCTGATCGTGTTCTAGCTACTATTGAAAATGATATAAATCAAGGTGCACAATCTGCAGCATGCGCAAATGTAGATGAAAACGGCGGGGATACTACGGATGAAATCAAGGAGTTCTTCGATTGCAAGTATTCTATAATTGGTTAGAGAATGTAGGCATGTTTTCTAATTTGCATAATTTTTGATTACAAACTAAATGTCTACTGATTTAATTTTATGTAGATATGTTTCTGCATGCAAAGCTACATGGCGTTTGCTAGCATTTCTAATATTTTTAGGACAACTCCGGTGGAGAAACTCTATTTTCATATTGAAAACGAGCAATCAGTACTGTTTGATGATGATGATCCAGTTGAAACTATTCTAAATCGTAGGTCAGTATAGAGCTCAATGTTTTTAACTTTTTTTGAAGCTTGCAATAAGTATCCAGAAGCTGAAAACCTAACATATGCTGAGTTTTCTACAATGTTTGTTTATGATCGTAAAAATATTGAATGGAAACCTAGGCAGAAAATAGGTTAGCAGTTGGTAGAATAACCTATGTACCTCTGAAATATGGCCAATTGTACTACTTTCGTGTTCTACTCAACCGACACAAATCTCCTAAGGGGTTTGATAATTTGAAGACAGTTGATGGTGTTTTACATCCTACATACAAAGATGTGTGTTATGCATTGGGGTTACAAGATGATGATAGAGAATATATAGATGGGATTAATGAAACAATCATTTGGGGTTCTGGTGACTTCCTTCGAAAACTTTTTCGCATTATGCTATTGACTGATAACTTAATTAATCCATTTGGAGTTTGGAAAAAACGTGGAATTTACTATCTTATGATATTCTTTACATAGGAAAATTAATTGAAAACAATCCAAGTATTTTCATTACTTTGTAATACTCTCTCTATCTTTAAAACTTATGTATATCAGAATACTTTGTGTGAATTTTAAGTATTATATTTTAATAATTAATTTGTATTAATCTTGCAGAATTGGGCCTCTCTGATGAACAGCTCAAAAATTACACATTGGATGCAATTGAGACTATACTGCGAAGCAATGGTTGTTCTATTGCGAAGACGGTGATTACAACACATCTAGTATCAGTAGGTTAATATACGATTAAAGAAACTACGATAGAGAAGAAATGAAATCTATCCAAGAAAGAATGTTTCCTGGTTTAACTGAAGAGTAGATAAATGTTTACAAGGCGATCATGGATACTGTCACAGGAGATAAAGGAAGAGTTTTTTCTTATATAAGTTCGGTGGGACTGGAAAAACTCATTTGTGGAAACTACTATCTGCTGTTATTCGTGCTAGAGGTGAAATTTTTTTGAATGTTGAAAGTAGTGGAATAGCGTCTTTGTTATTGCCGGGTGGTCGAACCGCACATTCACGTTTCGGTATACCAATAAACCCATATGATGACACTAGTTGCAACATTCAACCTGGAACAGATTAAGGGAATTTGGTTGCAGAGTCATCTCTTATCATATGGGACGATACATGATGAGGCCATTCAAGCTGAGCCAGACTTAACCGAGTCACAACTACAAGATGTCGAAATACCAGTCATTCATGAAGGCCCAATAACAAGACAAAGAGCTAAGATTCTTCAATACAAGTACAACCAAAGCATGCTACAAGCAATGTCTCAAGTGGATCAAGAGAGGCCGAGAGAAGACCATGAACAAGTGGAACCGCATAATGAAGCCCGTCAACAACAAGCTTGGACCGGACTACTAGAAGAATGCCAAGAGCTAGCAAACGGCCCAGCTTCAAAGAGTCAATATATTTGGCCCCTTTTACCAAATCAAGCCCAAGTCTACATGCTGACTATCTCGCCGATAAAAGATTCAAG